AGCTAAATGCTAAAAGAGATTAACTCTAGCTAAAAGCTAAAAGAAACGTAACGCTACCTAAAAGCTAAACGAGACATAAAGCTAGCTAAAAGCTAAAAGAGACGTAACGCTAGCTAAAAACTAAGAGAAGTAATGCTAAAAACTAAAAGAGAGAAACTCTAGCTAAAAACTAAATGTGAGAGAACTTTATAGCTAAATGCTAAAAGAGATTAGCCAAAAGCAAAAAGAGACAAAACATTAGCTAAAAGGTAAAAGAGACAGAACTTAAGATAAATGCTAAAAGAGACATAACTAGTTAAAAGCTTAAAGAGACAGAATTCTAGCTAAAAAGTAAAAGAGACTGCACTAGTGAAAAGCTAAAAAGATTGAACACTAGCTCAAATGTAGCATTGTCTCTCACACAATGACCCTTGGAGAGAAAGACCACAGCTCAACGAGAGCCTGCATGAGGAGCGGCTGCTGTACATGACAAGATGGATGTTTGTTTTGTTTGTTGTGCAAACAAACCTTAAGACACACTGACTGCTTCACCAGTCAAACACCAGGACCCAAGACTGAAGATGGAACCAGTCTGGGGTCAAAACTTTTGCACATTATACTGTATTGAAAGAAAACAAACAGAAATCATTTAGTTGTAATAAGCATATGGAAAGTTTGTTTTTTGTAAATAAAGTTTAAAATTATCTTTGCATGTAGGTGTCTATAAATTGACTGGAAAGTTGCAAAAAGGTAACTGGGCACTGCCTGAAGGCAGCCACTTATTATTATCCACCTGAAAAGGGTCTAACTCTTCCGTCAACTTTAATGTGGCCCAACGTGTACCCCCACAAATGTTTTAAAAACGTAATTTGCAAACAAATATGCCACTTTTCAAACTAAAAAAGCCTCACAGGATTCTCCTCAGCTTCTAACTGCTACAGTGAGGTCACATGACCTAGAGGTCAGAGGTCGCTAAACAAAACACTGATTAATTTTGATTCAAGATGGCTGCCACAGATACCTCAGAAAACACAAAATTGACTATAACTCTGTCATTTTTTTAGATATTGCAGCTGAAATTTAGCATGGTTGTAGCTGAGAGCGAGTTGTTTTACATTCCTAATGCAAATTAAAAATCAAAGATGGCCACCTTAGCTAAAATAAAAACGATAGTTGAGCTATTTTAAAAGATATTGAGATTCTACTTGCTTAAAAGTCTTCTGATACCTTCATTAGTAACGCCTTGTTTTTTTAAATGTCCAATCAGATGTGGTTCTTGAGATGCGCCTTCCTTTGGGAATGCCCATCTTTCTTTGGGAACGCCCACCTTCTTTTGGGAACGCCCATCTTCTTTTGGGAACGCCTACTTTGTCTGCAGACATGCCTACTGTACTTAGAAACAAACACTGGAATACATAGAGGGAACAGACATGAATGGCTTCCAGCTTCATGGAAGGATGAGGAACTGAAGAGAAGAGGCTGATTAAGAGAGGGCACTAGGAGGAGGAGCTACATGAACTAAATGAGGAGAGGATTGAAGCAATAAGTGAAAAAAGAAACTTAAAAGACAGGAAAATACAACATAAACCACAAAGAGAATCAAACTAAAAGATGAACACAAGGAATAAAATAAAGGACACCAACAAGTGTTCATGTCGTGGTATGAAAGCTTTCAAACATGTTTTATTTCTGAAGTAATAAGTCAGAACTGACTACTAATATGTAGCCTTACATTGAGTTTAAAATAAATATCAGTATAAATTAGATATTTAGATATGTAGCTGTCATACTATGTCACCTAAAGCAATACTTCCTACAGTCAAATTTGATGAGTGATGGTAAAAAAATAGTTTGGGATGATAAAGCTCTATCTTATCTGAAATCCTTAAGAGAATTTGTATGGATTGTACAATATTTTTCTTTAAATTTCACAAATGAATTATTAGATAATAAGATAACGAAACACAAATCCCACCATTTTGTGCATGCCTGGCACACATCAGATATTCTGGTTTCACTGCCAACAGGACCACACTGCTAAAAGGACCATACTGTTAACAGGACCACACTGCTAACAGGGCCACACTGCTAAAAGGACCATACTGTTAACAGGGC